CCTCTTCCTTCTTCTTCCTCTTCCTTGCCTTCATTTTCCTTTTATTTTGTCTGTGGGAGGTAACTAGCATGCTGAGGCCACTCTAGCACCCAAACCACCTACTAGCTTCCAGACCCTCTTATCAGACATAAGCTGCCATCTCAGTATTCACTAAAAGGAACAAAAGACAGAGACAAAGAGAGAGAAGAAGAAGAAAAAGGCTCATTTGGCAATAGTTAGCTCTTGCTGTTTGGCCTGGAGAAAGACATTCAAAGAGGTAGAAGATTGTATAGAAACAGCTGGCTAGCACCACGGTGTGAGGCTGATTTTCAGATATGACAGCCACTTACAGGAATGTTGCCAGATACAGCTGTTTAAAAGCCTTAATAAACAGCAAGTCGATACTAATCTTTGCCAAATTAATCTTTTCCCTGACAGCCCATCAGAGCAATTATGTTTGGGCTTATTGTAAACACACAATTGTCAAACAGGGACACTCCAGACTTTAAAAAATACTGTAGTTTGCTTCATAGTCTCTTTAGAAGGGTATTTTGTTGTTATCGTTGCTTTTGTCTTTGATTTTTATTTTCTAGTCCCTATTTTTTTTTCTCCTGGACTCATGTCAATGCAAGTAAAATTTTACTTCCAAATGTCTTTGCTAGCAAGCTGTTAATAAAAATGTGAAATGAGTCTTGCTGGTGGGCTTCCTTAATTAGCTGCAGATCTGATCCTGGTGAAAGAGAACAACACAGCATTGTTTTCGGTTGTTTCCATCCGGGTACTAGAACCATAGCTCTCCTCCTTCTCATTTACTCCTGCAATCTGCTGCTGGAGGCAAATGACAAGATGTGTGGCACAGTCTGCACCAAGAAGGCAAAATGGAAGCTCTTTGAACATACCAAACTGTCAAGTATATGGCTGACAGTCTGGCCAACCAGAGTTAACTGGTTTCTCAAGTTCCCTCCTGCAGCCACTGCCCCCAGCCTTGTGGTTGGCGTGGTGAGGATGGCTGCAATTCACTTTCTTAATGCAATAGTTTTCTCTAAGGATCTGGAGACAGTTTTTGTTAGGAAAGGTTCTCTCACATGAAGAAAGAGTGCCAAATGAAATTATGGAAATCTTCTTGGAGGCTGTTAAAGAATACATTAATTTCTTCTCATCCCGATGACACTTATGCAGGATCCAAGAAAGGAGTCTTTCCTTATTTCACCAAGTCATACCCACTCTTGGTAACTAGAAACAAAGATTAAGTATCCTGCTCATTCAACTGTGTTTGAATTTAGCAACCCATAAGACTTGTCTCCTGAAATTTCTCGTTCTCAACACTCCTACGTGTCTAGCACCTTTCTCTCCCTCAATTCTTATTTTCTTGATGTAATAAGCATCCATCTTTTACTTCTGTCATGACTAGAAAAATGCTCTTGTTTAATTATGGAGGCCAAAATAATATGGCATCCCTCACTCTTTTTAAATTTTTAATGGTAATTTTCATTCTTTTTGCAACTTTAGATCTGAAGTATCTCCATCTTCTTTACTACCACTTCTTGTCTATGATAACTACTTAATTTCCTTCTTTATCTCAAAGCTTTAAGTCAGCAAGGAAACACCATGCAATTCCTATAATTTATGTTTCACTGATTGTATTATGCATCTATCATTATTTTAGAGATGAAATTATTCAATTTCAAGGAGTCAAAAAAGAAATTTGTACTGTGGGGTGACTCATGTGAGTTTACATCTTTAGGGTTAAAATATTCATCATCAGTAACAGAATTTGTATATATATATTATGTTTATTTTAAATAGTGTACGAAGAGGTTTCAGTTCAACATTTATGAGTACAACACATTTGATCAGTGTCACTGCTTCCATACTTTTCCCCACCAGAAATGAATTTTTCTGTGAGTCTAACTTTTCCTTAAAAAATGAGTGATAAAACTGAGTGCTGGTGGCTAATACTTGCTAACCTAGGTACTTGGAAGGCTGAAATTGGGAAATTTGCAGTTTAAGGACAGCGTAGGAAGAGAGACACTGTATCCCTGGAGGGGCATTGGACACAGCATGACCCGCACCACTTTAGGTGAGCCTAAAGTAGGTGAAATTTCAGCTAAAGCATGCACAGGGTAGAAAGCAAGACCCTATCTCAAAAATAATCAGTGCTAAACAGAGTTGGAAGTATGGCCCATGTGGTACAATGTCAGACTAGTGAGGACAATGCCCTGAGTTCAAGTTTCAGACCTGTCACCATATCAATGAAAGCTATGAATATAAGAAACTATGGGTCAATCCCACCTTCAACTAATAAACATTAGGAAAACATTTCTTTGTAACAATATTTTTTATGTTGTAGAATAACCTATTTATCACAAACTTCTACAAAAGTAATTGTACTCTAACAAAGAACTTAAAATGGTAACTGGGATTTACTAAAACTTGGTAGTTTAGAATATACTTTAATATGACATAGCTGTCTGGCATGGATTCTAAATGAGGGGTAACTTGTAAAGAAATCAATTACTTTCCCTTTTTCTTTTTGTGCCCAACCTGGGACTTAAATTCAGGCCCTGAGCACTGTCCCTGAGCTCTTGTGCTCAGGGCCTACCACTCTATCACTTTGACCTACAGCTCCACTTCCAGTTTTCTGGTGGTTCATTGGAGATAATAGCCTCATGGACTTTCCTGCCACAGCTGGCTTTGAACTGTGATCCTTAAATCTCAGCCTCTTGAGTAAGTAGGATTACAGGTGTGAGCTACCAATGCCCTGCTTAATTACTTTTCTTTAAGATTTTCCACCAAGGAGCTTGTAAATACTTCCTACTCAATTAGAAATTAGCTATGCCTGACTTTAGATATAGCAATGTCCCCACCTCTGTTGGACCATATTAAGTCACCATTTATATAGGTAAGGTTCGAAATGGACAATTTCCTGTGGTTCAATCAATGACTTTTCAAATGAGTTGGACCAACTCTTTTGTAAAAGGTGAAAAGTCCATGGAAAATGGAGATGGGACATTGGTGCTGATAATAAGTTTTGCATTTTTTATATAAAATTTTGCATTCTTAAATTAAAAAAATTCTTAGCAATGAATTGAGCCAGGATGCACTGCTTTTGCTAATCATGTTTTCCATGGAAAGTTCATGTTCCCTGTAGAGGAATTCCTTTTCCTTAAGAGGCCAACTCCATTCCTTAGCTATGCTCATGGGTTTGATTAACTGGAAATCACAATATGACTTACTTTTCCATTATCAGCATGTCCTCACTTGGTGAGAATTAGGATTTAAATTATCCTTTCTTGATTACGGTAGAGACGTGACCTACTCCTATTTCCTTTCTTCTACTCTTTTGTCTTTTTCTTCATGGCTAAAAAAATTCTGATTTGGAGTATTTGGGTAAAAATATTTTATGTTCACTCTTATTGCTACATCTCTAAGAATGATTTTATTCTTAGCTCAGGAACAGTTTGGTGCACTCCAGCAGAGAACTGGGATTACACTCGCAGTGTTCCATGAGTGATTAGCTGTGACTTATGTGCCTACCCTAGATTCTGCTTCTTGGAAGAAGGCAGACTTAAAGATGGCAGATGTTTTAAAGAGCTCAGAGCTCTAGAATCTCAAAGGCCACGACAGCCATGAATTACTTTTGTGCCCAATCACTTCTGTCCTGAAAACAAACTTGAGATGTCTCATTTGATTAGGCCTGTACTTTAGTTTCCAGTGGATCACCAAATAGAAGAAGGTCACACATGTCCAGAGGTTTTATTGATGCATTTTCTTTTATTTACATTTGCTGTAACTGTATTTGGTATGAAATTTCAGAGATTTTTCTATCCTGCTTGTGCACCTGCTCTGGAAAAACTGCAAAGAACATCCCTGCACAAACCACCTGTCAAAGTCAAAGCTGCTTGTCCTCATCCCTGTAATTACCTTCTTGGTTTAGACTTAATGCAGGAGAAAATTTACTTTATCATAATATAACAAATAAAAGACATTAGGTAATTAGTAGTGCTGGTATATTTCTAAAATACGAAACAGACAAACAATAAACTGTAAACTTAATTGTGTGAGTTCTTATACAATTTCAAGACAGGAAAATTAGAGCTCTCAGCTACAGTCATTTTAATAATCACATTGGATCTGCATTATTTATTAGTTAGTACATGCTCAAGTGATTCAGGGTGGTACAATGCCTAAAATAATTCCAAAGTAAACATACCTTTTGTCTGTTTCATTTTGACTGGATTACATAATGCATATATTTGTATTTAGTTAAATCACTAATTACTTCACACAGTCTGTGAAAGAAACATTACCATTCTTTTGATTTCTAACCATTTAACGTATTTGACACAATCCCCAATAAGGGAGTAATTTGCTAGATCTTTGTTGTTATTGTTGTTGTAAAAGCTATACAAACTCTCAATCAGATCCTCAATGCTTTTGACCTCTAGCAAAGCCCTAGTACCTTCAAAATTCACTAAAAAGACCGAGAAATTCTGGGAAGAGAAGTAGCAAGAATCTCACTTTCTATCAACAGCTTTTGAGGTTGGGTTGTTTTCCTTTCTCTTTTGTTGTCTGATACTCACCTTCTATTTTGAGATGCATTCTAGGCGGCGGGCTTCTCTCCCCCCCTCTTTCTTTTTGCCCTTGTTTAATCTTCAATGTTTTTGAAATTTGGTGAGAAGCATGTGGCTTGAAGAATTTTGGATACACAATTTTAAATTTTCTTTTTTTTTGCGGGGGGGTGGGGGTGGGTTCAGACCTGACTAAAACCAGCTGAGAACCAAAAAAGCAACTTGTTTTAGATAGAGGATGAGTTTGTTAAATCTTTGGGGAACAAATCTCTGTTGTATTATATAAAAGAAAATTCTTTAATAGAGTAGTTTTCCATTTGCATCAACTGAAGCAATGCAGAAATAAGGATTTGTTACTTGGATTTGCTGCTAAATGAAAAGCAGGTTTGGCTTTATTTGTGTCACTGTAAAACTAAACAATAAAGTATTTACCTCAAGCGTGAATTATTATTTTTTTGCCAGCAAAAGTTAAAACATCAAAGAAACCTCTTTGAAATACTAACAAATTTACTTACAAACACCTATATTTATTATTTCATAAATAGGCGCAACAAGTTTCATAAAAAAAGATTAAATACAGACACAGTATGAAGAAACAATAATACAGAGCCATAAGTAGAGGTTATAATTTAGCTGTTTCCAATCTGTTTCTGCATCTAATAAGATATCAAGTAAGCATTTGGCAGTTTTATACATAAAAGGACTTAAATGACATTTACTAATCATTACACAAAAAGTGATACAAAAAAAGCAATTTTTTTCCTGCAGTACAAAATAAATGTGTTCTCACTTCCCTTAACATTAGTTTTCCTTGTGTTTGATTAATGGGACCAGGCCAATTTAGTTTTAAAGTAAAATTACTTGGGAATATTTTTTTCAAACAGTTTGAAAATATAGAACTATTAATCAGTTGTTTTAAAAATGAAGTAAAAATATGAATGTTTGCCAATTTAATTCCTCTTGTGAAACCAATAAACTGGGATGAGCCAGTTTCAAATTACAATTTAGCTACAAAAACATTCACATTTTTATACTCTAGGAGAGTGTAACAGAGATTCTATTTACAAACTTGCTATGACTGCTACATCAAGCCATTTAAAAAGTCTTTAGTAGTTTCATATAAACACCCATTATGAAAACCAATGGAAAACCCAGGACTGTTACCCGAGACAGCTACCATTGCTAAGGCCGTTACTAGAGCATAGCACTTCACAGCAAAAAACCAACATAAAATTTGAATGGTCCATATTTCCTTCAGGGAAGAAGAAGAACAATGTCCATAAAGGATTACAAAAATAATAAAGAAGCATAACTATTTCTTCCAGAGTGGGTGACCCACAAGCTCAGATGGTCCTAAGTGCTTAGCAACTTGTAATTTCTAATAAAATGGAGAACCGCCTTGACTGTACAAAGCAATCTGGTGAAAAGACTTCCCTGAATTCCTCAGTGGAAAGGAGAGGTGTTTTGATTTTCAGGTAAGGTACAGTGCTTTGTCCCTCTGCATACCCCTGTAGTGAGAAAAAACAGATGATTGCTTGTTACAAGACAGCCTGGGCTACAGGTAGAGTTGTTCTAACTCGAGGGATGAAATTAATCACTGGGAAAGGGACCAGATCGTTAAACTACATCTTCATAGAGTGGCTAGCTAAAGGCATTATTTTTGGAAATTCTTGGTAATGGCTCAAAAATGTCTTAAGTTGTAGCATCGACCTTCTTGAATATCATACATTGGAAAGTAGGAATAAAAGTAGGAATAAAGAGGGATGGACTAATGTGCATGCTATGAGCATTATCTACCACTAGGTGGCGATGGCAGGCCGCTTACCCACTACTGCAGTAGTCGTTGTTCCAGTCCACGGGCTGGGGGGCAGGATTTCTGCACCCAGAACGCACATACTCCATTGCTTGGGTGACAACTTGTGCAGCTGTAGATGTAGGATTGATAATTGTCTGATAGTCAGGTTGAAGAGTAAATCCCTGAAAGGAATATCCAGGTCCACAGGTGAGAATCAGAATGATTTTTTAAAAGAAAAACATCCAAATATTGGTGCATTCTCTGTACAGGCCTTCCTGCTTCTGCTTATGCGGTGTCATACCTATGATAAGGGCCCAGGAAACTCAGAACAATGGTAGAAAAGGGAGGTCTCCATCACATTCTGCACACCCTTTCTTCCTTTAACTGTGTGTCAAAGTAACCTTTAATTGTACTCTTAAACCGACTGAATTGAGAAACATTTAAAATGTAGAGAAGCTTAGTCAATCAAAACAAAGGAAGCAAAGAGTTTATATCCTTCAAAGTTTGTTTTCTATCAAACCTAAGGATACATTAATAGTTAATCCCCAGAATATGTAACAGAATCTTTTCTGAAGGATTCAGGCAGCAGGTGGCTGAGTGTTTTATTAGACTACACCTATTCACATATTGTTCTCCAAACCCTTTTTCTTCATTCAATCTCAAAGGGACCATCTGCTTCTTTTTTTTTTTTAATTTGTGTTTCTCTCTCAGCTAAAAAAATCCAACCAAAGCTTTTTAACAGTGGTTGGATTAATACAGAGAAAGAAATGCAAAACAACTTGCTGTTAGAAAACGAAGAGGGAAAAGTGTAAGACAGAGTAAATATTTTTTAATTGAAAAATCTATTAGCTAGCGGACAACATTGTGACTTCAGGAAGATTGTTTTAATTGACTAGTATGGGTAAGTGTTGACTTTTAATCCTAGCAAAGCTATTAAAAACCCAAGGACAGAATCTCTCCAGTGTATAGCTATATCTGGTAAACAAAAAGCATTTTACACAAAGATATATTTTTAGCTTATCTGATAAATTCAAGAGCAGCCTAGGCAAGTTTTGCTGCAAGTGACCACAAAAAGCAATTTAATTAATCTCATAGTTGTCTCTGTATAGTATATTCCAGCCATGTCTTCTTTTAGCCACCGAAATCAAGAGATTGAAAAATATACCTTCTCTACTTATTGCAGGTAGCTTTTGAAGGTTACAATATTGTTGTTATTAAACCCAGCAGAGTGATCAGAGAATTGATTTTTAACTAAGGATATCCTTAGACTTTTATTCATGTTTGGGTGTTGCTTGTGTAACAACTCTAAGAAGTGTCACCTACTACTCAACATCTTCAGTTCTCAATACTGCCTCCAATTCAAACCAATGTCTCATCCTAAATTGTGAAGAAAGATGAACTCAGAATGGCTAGTATTGGGTCACTGAAAAGTGGAGAATTCAGCCAGACTGGTTGTTTGACCTCACACAGACTGAAAGGATAAATTTCCTAAACAAACTATTGGTTTGTCTGTGTAGATACCACCTACAATGTGAATTGTAAATGTTTTCCTAAACTGAAAGCTGATGGTCAGGGTCCCCACTGGCTGCTTGGATGTCTTCTGTGTTTCAGGCAGTATTCTTTTTCCTTTAGATCCTCCTACATCTCTTTTTCTTTTCTTTTCCTTCCTTCCTTCCTTCCTTTCTTTCTTCCTTCCTTTTTCTCTCTCTCCCTTCCTTTCTCTCTCTCTCTTTCTTTCTTTTTTATTTTGCTTGGTCATGAGGGCTGAACTCAGGGCTTGGGAGCGGTCCCTCAGCTCTTCAGCTCAAGGCTAGCACTCTACCACTTGAGCCACTTCGGCTTTTTCCTGCTTATGTGGTGCTGAGGAATCAAACCCAGGGCCTCATGGCAAGCACTCGACCCCGGAGCCACCTTCTCAGCCCATCTTCCTACATTTCTAATATGGAAGGGGTTTTGTAGGCTTCAGTGAAGTATACTTATATTTTCTTTTCTACAGCCCAACTTTCTCCTCTTCCTTCCCCAGTGTCTACTGTGGTATCTACTGGGTGATGAGCAGGAGAAAGCTCTGGGGAGAACTAGGGTTGACTTGCTTTGTTAACATAATCAGCAAGGCTGCATGAGGATCACACCCTGTTTATTGAGGTGCTGGGCTTTCCCATAGTAATAGTTCAATAAATCATCTTCTCAGTAAATAACTTTTACTAAAGATGATGTATGTGATGCTATGGTTAGAAGCTTATGGGATAAATGAATGTGTAAATGCCAGGTCCGTCTTCTCTTTTTAAGTAAAGTTCTAAATATTGGATTTTTACACAACAGACAAAATATAACCTAAAAGCAAATAAGTATCAAAACAAAAGGTAGTCTAAAGTATCTTGAGTTAGCTAAAAAGCATGGAATCTCACAAAGAAAGCAAAACAGACACCCTCCCTCCCCAAGATCCTCAGAGTGTCTTTTCATTCACTGACAATATTTCCTTACATTGGGAAGACACTATTAGGAAAGTTTTTTAAAAATTCTACCTTAAGATTAAGTGACTTAAAAAAAAATCTATGTTTGTTTTTTTTACAAAGATCAAAGATGAAAGATTCAGCTAACTTTTATGACTAAACTTAAGTGCATCACAAATATCCAAAAAATCAAGAACCAAGAAAAATATAGGCAAAGGTTGAAGTAACATTATTTAACATTATTTTTCCTTCCAAGCTAGAAAATGGCCCATAGTCCTGCACACTTTGTAAAGAAATGTTGAGGTCAACCTTAGAGCGATGTACATTTTTATTACTGATATAAATAGGAAACAACATTTGAAAAAAAATGTTTGCTTAGCCATCTAATTAAACAAGACTGAATATTTTGCATTTTAATGCTCAGGAGAAAAATCACCAACTGTTTTGTAGCATGCCTGGAATTTTAAATTTCATTTTCTGGTGCCAGATTGAAATAAAAATAGGAAACATGATAAAGATTAATTTGATGTCAAAGGGGACATTTGCTCTTTAATTAGATTTTTGTAGCCCTTGCAGTGTGTTGTATCACCATAGCAAGACCAAAAAAAAAAAAAAGCTGCATCACAACCAAACTGTGGTTGTGGTCCTTGTATCCACACTTTGCAGAGAAGTAATTTCATTTCCTGCCTGTCTGGAGAGGTATTTTCAGCATGCATCAATGTTTTTGTCTTCATGACTGATTTATTCATCAATCTCAATGTGATTTTTTTTAAACCTTTAAATTACACCCAAATCTTAAAGCAGCTGTTTATTACACAAGGAAATTGAAAATCTGTCTGTGATATCATACAAAGATTTTTTTCTTAAGGTTATAAAAGAAGTTGACAGATATTAATGATTTTTTTTCTATTGACCTCATTCAAAAGTACAGTGAGGCAGAAGGAAAAGGACGAAAATTGGACCCTCACACACCCAGAAAAGACTCAATTCCATGGGTTCAGTGTATAAAGTATTATTGTAACTAGGTGCTGGTGGCTCATGCCCATAATCCTAGTTATTTAGAAGGCTGAGATCTGAGGATCATGGTTCAAAGCCAACCCAAGCAGGAAAGTCTGTGAGTCTTTGATCTCCAATTAACCACCAAAAACTGGAAGTGGGGTAGAGTGCTAGCATTGAACAAAAATGCTGAGGGACAACACCCAGACCCTGGGTTCAAGCACTGGCACTACCCCCCAAAAATCTTTGTCTCTCTGTCTCTGTCTTTGTCTCTCTCTCTCTCTCGATATTATTGTAGAAGAAAAGAAAGAACTGTTACTCTTGGTGGGCTATATAATCATTTTTAGGAAACACTGATTTTCAAGAGGATAATGAAATAGCTAAAGTAATATTGAAATAGAAGATATTGCTTTAAAAATACAGCAGCTGTTAACTCTTCTCTGTGTAGGGCTGGAAGATAGGCATGTTTTCCTCCACTAGGAGACAAACATGGCAGGATAAATGTGCTTTGGATAATGGATAAGCTAGGTCAAACTTTATTCACAACATAGATAGGCCAACAGGCTTTGAGAGACTGTAGTCATCTATGATGAGCAGCTGCCTGGGGCTGCCAGTCTCCTGAACCTGTAGGCTCTTGCTCAGATTACCTGCCCATAATCCCTACCTTGTCCCAACTACTCTCCTGACTCGCCTGCTTCCTGGTTCTACCAGCTTGGAGCATCATTTCGTGACAGTGGCTCTCTCTGGAAATGCCCCACACCCTTCCCACCTTCTATCATCTAAAGACTATTGCTCTTCTCATCTGTCAGGTCTCTGGGCCAGCCCTTGAGCCAGTAGCCTTCCTCTTCCAGTTCATCCTGGCTAAAGCTTTCTCTTCTCTGGGCCCCCTGCAGTCTGTCTTCTTGTTTTCCTCCTGACCCCATGGGATCTCCATTACTTTCTATCTTCTTCCTGATTTTCCACCCTCCCTCCAGGAGGGGTAGGGTCCTTAATTCTTTGTGTTCTTTCCTGTGACTGAATTTCCAGAGCCTAGGCAGTGCCTGCCACATTGCAGAGGTCACTAAAATATCTCTAATCATGTGAATTAAAAAGAAAAAATCTTCCAAGGAACTAGATAATTTGAAGGGATGTGCAAGCAGTGAGAGATGGAGGAGAACGATGAAAGGAGTGACAGTGACCAAGATGCATTGTTTTCATAAACTGACATGTTGAAAGGAAATCCCTTTGTACAAACTACTTTAAGGATAATAAATACATGAATAAACATTTTCCAAGAAAGTGACATTCTACAATCTAACCTGCAGTTTCTTCCAACAGTCTTAACATTTACATGCATTATTTTCAGTTGTTCATTGTCCCCAAAATTATTGTTCCTGAATACCTATTTGATCAAGGCACTGTTAAAGTGGTACTTGGTCAATGAGGTATTTGTAGCTCTTGCTATTGCTTGTCTTGCTGTCTATTATTAATGTAACTTGAAATCTGGTTCAACTCACCCTTTTTATTTTTTTGAGAGACACTAACAAAACTGAACTAAAGACTGACAAATACTTTGTCCAATGTAATTTTTTTCCTTCCCATTCAGCTCAGATCCTGTATGGGAAGACAAATCTCTTGGATTTATACATGTGGTCTTATAGCACTCTGAAATATCTGAATGCTATTCAGAATCACAGTTAGCTTAACAGACATTTGAGCAGAACTAGAAAAGGAGACTATTTTTTCTAACTCAGTGCCTTGTGTTGCTGGATAGATGGCTCTACTATTTGGGCTACTCACACAGACCTTTCTGCTTTAGCTATTGCAATCCCTTTTATTTATGCTTCTCAAAGAGCTGGGATAACAAGTGTTTCCTGGCTTTTCTATTGGTTGAGATGGGGGTCTTGCCAGTTCTTTCTTTTTTTTCTTTCTTTCTTTCCTTCCTTCCTTCCTTCTTTCCTTCCTTTCTTTCTCTCCTTTCATCCTCCCTTACCTCCCTCATTCTCTCTCTCTCTCTCTCTTACCTGGACTGGCCTCAAATCTGTATTACCTGAAATAAGGTAGATTCAGAAGAGAACCCAAATAGTATAATTTCTTAGAAAGTTAAGTCAACAAGAAAAACATGAGGAAAATGGATACTTGAACAGAGTGGGGTAGGGTCAAAAGGAGAGAGTAGATCAATGAAGAGGAGAAGTAGTCAAGATATAGTCAAGAACTCAATGAATATCCTACAAAACTAAGAAAAGCAAGAGAAAGGGTAGATGGGGTGAAAGGGGTAAAGTCGATTAAGATACATTGTATTCGTAAACTACTTTGTTGAATGACAACTACGTTGTATGACTACTTAAAGATGATGATGATAATAATAATAAATACAGGAAAAAATAAAAATAAAACAACAATTTGACATTTCCCCCAAAACAAAAACACAGGAACAAAAACAAAAAAAAAACAAAAATTTATCTGCCTAATCTCTGTCACCCAAGTAGCCAGGATTACAGGTGTAACATACTTAGCCTCATGTTAAAGGAGATATTTCTTTTTTTTTCTTTTCTTTCTTTCTTTCTTTTTTTTTGTCAGTCTTAGGGCTTGAAATAAGGGCCTGGGCTCTGTCCTTGAGCCTTTTTCTGTTCAAGGCTAGCCCTCTGCCATTTGAGCCACAGCACTACTTCTGGCTTTTATTTTTGGTTTATGTGGTACTGAGGAATCGAACCCAGGGCTTCATGCATGCTTGGCAAACACTCAACCACTAAGCCACATTCCTAGCCCAGAGAAATATTTCTGAGTGGATAAATTAGAAAAAGGTCTCCTCTCTGGATAGAGCTCTATATCTCAGCTTGAGAATTAATTGTGACTCTGGCATTCTTTCCTGTACACTGACAGAGCCCTACAGCACACCCCATGAGCCCTAACATGGACCCCAAGCTCATCCTTAGTAAAGATACCCAATCCAGTAGAAGGTGATCCTTGTTATTATTTCTTCAACCAAATATAATTAATTCATTACAGTATAAGCATATCTAAGAGTCTCTTCTTGTGAATGACATGTGATGGGAAGGAATCTGACCCTATGAACATCACTTGATCATAAACAACATGTAGACAAGGCAGCAGGGTGCCATACAAATGGTTTGTTGCATGGAGTTAAGGTACTTGTCATGGCTGTATCAATGTTTTTGGTGTGGGGATCAAGGAAGACTTTGGTAAGGAGATGAATTCCTTTGCTCCTCATAAAAATGTTGATTTTAGAATTAACTAGGATTTAAAGACTCTCTAAATTCTTCAGGGAAACAGGTTTTCTAATACAAAGCAGTTAATCTAGAGGAATGATTGAGGACGACAGGCAGCATGTTGAGCATTCATGAATCCTGGCTCTGGCTTCTGGACAGATCTGGTTTAAATCACAGCTCCAACCTTGTGAGCACATTATTTAACTCTGCCAAGCCTCAGCTTCCTTATCTTTAAAATGAAGTCTGTGCTAATGCCTGCATTGGAAGTTTTCTCAGTGTTAAAGAAGAGATCAAGTGTTTCGTTACTGGATTTGTTGTTGTTGGATCTCCGAAATCTTCTCTATAATAAAAATGAATTTCAGACCACACACACACACACACACACACACACAGATTGATATAGTGCCTCAGGGTCTAAGCACTGTCCTTTTGTTTTTTTTTCTCTCAAGGCTGTCATTCTGCCACTTGAACTACAGCTCCACTTTAAGCTGTTCAGTGGTGAAAGCTGTTCAGTGGAGTTAAAAGTCTCATTGAGTTTCCTGCCTAGGCTGGCTTTGAACTAGCTGAAGGGCCTCAGATCTCAGCCTTCTGACTTGCTAGGATTGCAGGCCTGAGCCACTGGTATCTGGCTTCAGACCACTTATATTCACCTTCATGCCCCACCCCTTCTTCTACTTTCCCAGTCCAACTATAGATTCAAACTATACAGAAGGCTGACCATCAGTTATATAGGAAAGTGATGTTTACTTTACCTGCAATTCTGAGTCAGAAGAGTATTTGGACTATAAAAATCATAGTTGAATTTGTTTTAATTTGTAGTTTTTACCTTTACTTTCTCAGATAAGCTTTTATGATTTTTGAATACTTTATGTTCAGTTGAGTTTGCAAATTTAAAAATTTTCAAATTTAGAAATAACACCAACATACAGAAGGAAAAATTCATTAAAAAAATCAAGTGTCCATAAATTGTTTCAATAATCAAGGAGTAGGTAGGGAGACTTTTTCTAATATAGAGGCAAGATCTATCTATTTATCTATCTACCTATCTATCTGTCTGTCTGTATGTCTGTCTGTCTGTCTGTCTTTCTGTCTGTCTGCCTGCTTGCCTGCCTGTCTGTCATCTGTTAATATAGCTATCTAGCTATCTATTAATCTAGCTATCAACAATCAATCAGTCTATCCCTGTATTACCTATCATTTATCCAACCGTCCATCCATCCATCCATCCGTCCATATATTCTGGGTATTGAAACCAAGGCTTGATACATGCTAGGCAGGTGTTCAATCCCTTGGCACCCCCCAGACCCTCAAATGTCCATTTTAAATAAAACTGATTAAAATATTCAGTTCTCAGGATTTTCAAGATTCTACCAAATTTGGCAATGGGCTTGAATTGCATTTTGCAGCATTTATTGAGCTCAACTGGCCTATCAGTCATGACACTGTCATTTTTAAACCACATTAAAAAAAAGAGAGAATTCTCTGTTCTAAGGAGATCTCTTAAAATAACAACAGTACTCTACTAAAGAAACAGAAAATAAAAGGGCAATTATGAAGACTGAAACAAAGTATCTATTGTGGAAAAGAAACCAGTGATTTTGATGAGAAGCAACTATCAACTACTGGGATGGCTTCACGCTGACAAACCACTTGAAAATGGCATTTTTCAGAAGCAAACAGATACCTACTGAATATTCTCTCCCTTGTTCTTTCTCTTCATTTAAGCAGAAGAACATTAAACATGTATCTCTCATTTTTGGCTGGATTAACACCTCTCCCCCTGCCCCCCCCCCACTTCAGAGACAGGTGTGAACTGCGGTCTGCACTCACTTGCTGCATGGTGGGGGAGTGTAAGGCAGACTGGACCTGCATGGGGAGCTGGTTCCCGATGGGCTGCTGCATGGCGAGTGGCTGGTGCTGCTGCATGCTGAGGTGCTGGTGGAGAGGAGGGCTGATCTGGAGGGGAGGTGGGGGGGACACAGCCATGTTGGCTATAGAGACAGTCACTGGCATTTGGTTGTTCGGCTTGGGAGCGATGTTCCTGGGGAGGCTGGGATGCATGGCGGTGAGGTGAGCATTCATTCCTGGCTGTTGGTGATAGTGGGAACTCAGGTACAGAGCTGAATGCGCCTGGCTGGGCCCGTGGAACACTGAGGGCTTGGAATTGATCAGCTGCGGAGACTGAGATGCCTTCACATCCACAGGTTCGCTGTAGCTCTGTTGTAGGAACAAAAGGAAAGTGTGTTAGGGGGCAGAGGCTGATCCATGGAGCCTTAATGCTATGGATGAGCTTTGTGAGCATGAGCTCTCATGGCAATCAACTCTCATGGCTATTATTTTTATTATTTCCTATTACTGGGGCTTGAACTCAGAGTCTTGTCTCTCACTCAGTTTCTTCAGTAACAACTGGTGCTCTACTACTTGAGTCACACCGCTAGTCCAGATTTTTGTGGATTAACTGCATATAAGAGTCTCTTGTGCCATGTACCAGTGGCACATACCTATAGTCCTAGCTACTCAGGAGGTTGAGACCTGAGGATTGTGGTTCAAAGCCAGCTCAGATAGGAAAGCCCAGGAGATTCTTATCTCCAATTAACCACCAGAAAACCAAAAGTGGTGTGATGGGTCAAAGTGGTAGAGCACTAACCTTGAACAGAAGAACTTAGGGACAGCGCCCAAACCCTGAGCTCAAACTTCATGACCACCACCACCACCACCACCACCACAAAAGTCTCTTCTATTTGTTTGTCCAGGCTAGCACTGAATGTGAGCCTCACATCTCATCCTCTGGAGTAGCTAGAATTATAGATGGGTTATCATCTATAGCTATTCCTGACATTCTTATCCAAGGATTCCTCCATTAATTTTTTGTGTGTGCTAGTCCTGAAGCTTAAATTCAGCACTGTCACTGAGCTTGTGCTCAAAGCTAGTGCTCTACCACTTGAGCCACTTTCAGTTTTTTAGTGGTTAATTGGAGATAAGAGTTGCATGAACTTTCCTTTCTGGTCTGACTTTGAACCATGATCCTCAGATCTCAATCTCCCAAGTAGCTAGGATTGTGGGTGTGAGCCACTAGCACCCAGCTTCCCTCATTATTTTTAACTTTAACTTACATAACACTGAATTTAATTGTATCACTTTTCTAAAAATCTAAAGCAATCAGAAATGACATTTTATTCTTTTGCCTCCATGCTAAGTTCTAACTTGCTGTTTCTTCTTATCAAACAAAGATAAGAAGATGAATGTGGGGAAGATGCCATAATCACCCTGATGGGAAACACTGTGTAGTTCACTTTCAGTTGTTCATCTCTGTGGATCTTGTATTGATTATACATTTACATTTTCCCCCCTTTCATTTTCTCAAAGAGGCTTGGCCTAGATATTTGCACAAAGAAACAAAGCTGGTTGATGGAAATGACTTTGAAAGAGTTCTAAAATACCTTCCTAAAGTCATATAAAATCACATTAATATGTCTTCAAAGTAACTGGAGAACTCATCTTGATTTTTTTTTAAAGAATTTGGTGATGAATTGGCCCCTTAATGAAGAAGATTAAAAATAACCTCTCTTAGAAATTTTAGACTCTATCATAAATTAATTGTGTCCTAATTTTTTCCACACCTTCATATGGTCATTTCCTAATAATCTTGTAATTGACTTAAAAACCAGTGAAAGATGAAAAGAATCAAGAATTAGCTCTGTGGCATTTCCTCTCCGGCAGGAACCTAACTCTTACTTTCGCTAAGAGGAAGAGAATGACAGAGCCTCATGGGGACTGTGAAGCCAACAGGAGGGAGACAATGCTAATATGTCCTTCTGGAGAAAAAAAGTCACTGTCAAAATCAGGACTCAAGGATACCCTTATTTTGCAAACTTGATGCCAGGCTTGTCACAAGTCAGAGTGAGTTTCTGTTCACACTCAGTACCATGCCTTCTGTGAATGCCTCCCTGCTCCTGCTGCTCAGGTACTACTCACTACCTGTAGTGGGGAGTGCAGGCGGATTGTCTCCACATTGTACAGGCAGACTGCTGTACCTCAATGGCCTGCAATTGGAGGAACTCAAACCAGCCAGCTTTATTATCACAGATTAGCCTATCCTACCTCTTAGCAGAGTAGGGCATTCGATCCAAAAAGTGGAGGAAAATTAAATGAGGTCCACAGCAAGAATAATGCTGTATTTATGTGTTAGCTCCCAAAGACAGTGCAGATGCAGTCATGTGTGTGTGTGTGCAGACGCAGCCATGTGTGTGTGTGTGTGTGTGTGTGTGTGTGTGTGTGTACAACCAGACCTCTACTGTCTCTGTAAGAAGTGACATACCTGTTTAAAACATGCTGAGTTGAGTGCTGGTGGCTCATGCTTGTATTTCTAGCTACTCAGGCAGCTGAGACTAGAGGATCGTATCTGCTCTGAAGTCAGTCTATGCAGAATAGACTGTATCTCCCCCAAAAAAAACCTAGCAAAACTAGAGGCATGGTTCAAACAGTAGAGCACCAGCCTTGAGAAGAAAATGCTTTGAGAGGTCTAGAGTTCACTCTCAGGTACCAGCATACACACACACACACACACACACACACACACAATTCATCAAACAAAATTTAAAGGGAGATAATAGAACAAAGCTTTATAAAATGCAATTCTTAAAATGTATTCTTTTTAAAAAGTAAGTTTTAAGAATTTTTTGTTTTGCTTTCATTTAAAAAATTTTATTGTTCTATAAAATAGTTAACAAAATTTAGGGAAAAGGTCAAATGGACTAATTCAGGCTACATAAATAGAGTTTGTACATTGAGACACGTACTACCATCGATAAAATCTTGAAAGTCACTGCATGGGCAGTCATTATATATCTGTGTGCTGACATCATCTGGGAACTTGTTTTTGTTGTGTTTGCATTCCTTGCACTTCAGGTTAGCCTTGCAGAAGAGTTAATTTCATAACTAGCCATGAATGATCTCAATTTCCTACTGGAAAGAAGTTACATCTAATAAAAATCAACATTTTACTTTTTCATATGGTTGCTTTGAATTAAAATATAAATTATTTGTGTTTTCTATACTATCAAACTATGAAATGCATCTACTTATGTATTTCTTATTTTTTCTCTCTATATTTCCTTTTTAGATAATGAAGAATTATTATAGATATAAAAACATTCAGTTTAGAATAAACAATGAATCCAATTCTTTTTCATTCTGCTCAATAAATAATAGCATGTAGTCTATCATATAGTTAATATAGTTTAGGTCAATAGGTAGCTATAAATGATTGATGATACATAGATAGATGAGATAGATAAATAGAAATTTATAGATATAGACAGCAGCCTTTCCTTGCCAATCTTGTAGAGGTTCTTTTCACTCATGGATAATTAAACACAAGCATTTTCTCTGTCCATAATTTGTCATTTACCTTCTCTACAGCAGACATAAAGACCATACCCCCTAAACCTATTTCAAAATAGGAAGAACTTGTACTTTTTAGTCACTTAGGACCACTGTGGAGTTAAACTAAACTGATTTTCAAAAATAATTATTCGGATATTTGAAATATAATTTTAACATAGATGGAATTAAAATTTTAGAATGTTATCTAAAATACTTTTTCTCCTGACTATCTAAATGTTTGAATATGACATGATTAATATGTGAAGCCACACCATATTTATATACATAAATATATATCACGGAAGGGGGTCTGTATTAAGGAAAGGGTAGATTTAATGGCAAAGAATCTTCTTAATCTCTGTAATCCATGCATCTAGCACACCAGGATGCATGGGGTGCAGCCCACTTATGAGTGAGTCAGTAGTTACTGGTTGACCCATTGCAACAATGAGATAGATGTACAAGACGCTATGTTGGAAAACGAACTTTACAATTTAGGTGGGGGTGAGGGGGTAGGAGTGGGGATGGGTTGGGGGGAAGTGTAGTTGTGGAGATGGGAGGGAAGGGATGGTAGGGGAAAAACAAAGGAGGAGGCAACAATGCTTGATAGGAAATGTACTCATTACCTTGCGCATGTAACTGTAACCCCTCTCTACAGTATTTTCACAATAAAAAACATAAAAAAAAATAGCTGTTGTTTTGCAGAGTCCAGCAGGTCTGGCAGAGATCTCTCACAAGCCTCATTGCCTCTGAGGAGGAGACCCCAGCCAGGGAACTTCCTCTTTTCCACCCAGACTGGGAGAACTTTCGTTTTTATGTGAAGGTTACTTGTTTAGATAGGGGAGAGACTGCCTTTAGCTTTCACTTCTGATTACTTTTATTTTGGGGCTGGTGCTGGAGCTTGAACTCAGGTCCTGGGTGCTGTCCCTTGGCTTTTTCATTCCAAGCTGGAGCTCTATCACTTGAGCAAAAGGTCCACTTATGGCTTTTTTTTTTTGGTGGCAAATTGGAGATTAGGGTCTCACGAACTTTCCTGCCTGGACTGGTTTCAAATCATGATCCTCAGATCTCAGACTCCTGATTGGCTAGAATTACAGTCATGAACTACTGGCACCTGGCTGATTCACTAATACTCAGCCTGATTACTTATTAATTAGCCTAATATAATAGACTATCTATTAACTATAGACTTGCTTTACTATTTTGAAAGATAGGTAAAAATAAGTTCATTTTAAAATAGCAAACAGTCATAAATTAATAATTTGGTTATGTGGATAAATGGAGAAATGATCAATTTAATACTGTTCTCAAAGCATTTCTCAAAATCATTTCTTATAAATAAAAAGAAGATGGTGGCAATAGAGACCTTCTGGGTCTTATCAGTAGAGAGTTTGCTTTGGCATGTGAAAAATACATAGCAAATGCAGCTGATAAGTCTTAAGACACTTATTAACCAAGCTAATATCTATTCAGGGTAATTTCAATCCCATCTACTTTGTAGCACGAAGTTAATGCCATATAGCAGATAAATGCCCTTATTCAGGAATGATATGTGCTATAAAAGTGGAAGATGGACAAAGTAATTGTTATTTAAAATAGCAAAGTATAAACAGAAGACATAAAAAGCACTGTAGAGGAGTTCTTGAACCAAATCAAATTAATAGCCCATCTAATTTGATTCTTGTTTTCAGCACTGACCAATACTCGATGCATTGGAAATTAAACAAAATTTATGCACCCACTCAATTGTGTGCTGTTACTTTCTGGAAGGAAAATTTTTCCTGGTCCGTGCAGGTGATTAACTTATACCCTGAAGCATGAGATTTTATTAT